AAGATGAGATAATAGATCTAGTATTGGCAGTATTATCTCTACATACACCTCCATTTTATACTCCAAGATGAGATAATAGATCTAGTATTGGCAGTATTATCTCTACATACACCTCCATTATATACTCCAAGATGAGATAATAGATCTAGTATTGGCAGGGGGGATTTCTCCTAGAAACAATATAATGATACAAACAATCATCAATGCTCATAATCATACTGAGAACATAGAGTGGTTAGGAAGTTAGAGAAGGTAATAGGGTAGTGAGGGAAGGTATAGGGTAGTGAGGGAAGGTATAGGGTAGTGAGGGAAGGTATAGGGTAGTGAGGGAAGGTATAGGGTTGTGAGGGAAGGTATAGGGTTAAAGGGTTGTGAGGGAAGGTTTTGGTATTGAGGGAAGGCATAGGATAAAGAGGGAAGGTATAGGGTAGTGAGGGAAGGTACAGGGTAGTGAGGAAAGGTATATGGAAGTGAGGAAAGGTAAAAGGGTAGTGAGGGAAGGTATGGGGTAGTGAGGGAAGGTACGGGGTAGTGAGGGAAAGTATAGGGTAGTGAGGGAAGGTATGGGATAGTGAGGGAAGGTATAATTTCCGTTTTGATCTTCATCTTACATTCATCCTTTACATTCAACAATAGAGTCCTAGCAGACCTTTAGTTCTTCTCATTTAGATTATATATTCAGGGAACACTTGGGGACTGTTAACACAATTTACACAAACCCTGTAAACCCTTATTTGAGTAACAAATGTCAATTGTTTTCCTTGTCTCTACTGACTAAATACGCAAGAAGTACGTGATAGAAAATTATCCATTTTCTGACACATTAATAAGAATATCTCCATCATTTTGCTAAAGCAGAGGTTTTGCTGCCGTGATATATTTTACCCAGATTAATCTTGCCAGAGCTGAAACCTTTAGAATGGTGGATATCGAGATTAATGCTTGATCCTCTCTTTTTCTTAATATCGAGACTAACCTAATCTTGTACTTCAGAATCGCGTATATGGAGCGGATAAATTTGAAATTTTGCGCGCCACTTAGGATTATGTAAAGAAACGAAAGGAACTCTCTAATTTAGAAAAACCGGATTTTGATTTTTCTCTACTATATTCAAGAAAGAATGGTTTAAGAAGAAAATCAAAAGTGTGTCCATTGGATACTCAGATTAAATAATCGGGATTAAGGTTATCTCATTCTGAAGTTTTCAGCTCAGGCTACATTTGTTGCGTAAAACGAGCTGGGTAGACTCTACACTGTGATTGAATGCATATAGATTTACATATACTATATAGTATACAGTACATGTTGTACCGGCTCGGATCATACACTTTTAGAGTTAGTGCATCTTTTTATTCATACGCATTTTAAATGTAAACAAAATTTGTGAAAAATGGTATTTAAAGTGTAAAGTTGGTTTAATAACGAGAGTTGACAAAACAAAAAAATTAATTTGGTAAAACTGAGAAAAATGTAGATGGTACGAGTGTATATAAAAAAATATCATTTTCAAACAAAATGTAAGACCTTCATACAACCGCAAAAATATATAAAAGAAATTGAGCCTTTGCCACAAACTCCAACTATCTAATCCCTATACCTTTGAACCCCAATGTCGTAGAGCTTAGATATTTCAAACGTTGAAGTCAGTTAGGTCAAAAAGCCTAAGCTTGAAATAACAAAGGTTTAGGCCATCAGGTAACAAAGATATTGTGAATAGAAAATTTGAATTTTTGCAAAGACTCAATTCCTTCAAACAAATTAAACGGAATATGTGCCCAATTAACAGTTCTTTAATTAAAAATAGGTCCCAACCATAAATTTGTAATCCCTAATCACTGTTATTTAAAGGAATTGTGTTCGCGAAAAATGAAAGGTGGTATAGGCTTACGTCGAAAAGTTATGGATGGTGATCGCCACTAATCTTACTTCTGTCTGTTGCGTCAGCGTGCTACGTCCTTCGGTATGAGTCGTTTTTCACAATTTTCTCCTTATAGACTTATACCGAAGAACGTACAGAGTCCATACAAATTCAGAAAGTTGCAACATTCGACTTGGAACGAAAAAATCAATTTAGTCCCAAACAAATCATTCAGATATTACAAGCCTATAATATCCGATAATTTTTTGTCGCATTCGTATAGTTGATATTTTACAACATACTTTAAAGGACGGTTATTTGACCGCTAGGTGTCTCTGCTCTTTGAAACTTTTGGAGTAATGCAAGTTATATTCTCCATTTTATATTCTATATTTATAAAGAATAAAATAATCCTGTATATATTGGCTCTGTAGTAGGGTGAACGGTGTCCCAAAAGATATATATAGTTCTTATATATATCTATATATATATATATATACATATATATATATATTTGGTAAAGCAATAATTATTTTTCGATAAAAAAGTTTAAATGCCACGAACAGTTTTTAGGCAACATGTCTGCTTTGAAGTGTTTTGTATTGCCAACTCACCTGTATACAATAGAAGAAATCTTGAAAAGTGTTACGATTTGATCGGCTAAAGTTAACTATACAATTCACTTCAAATCTGTAAATAGACTATGCTTGTGTGTTTGTCTATTTGTGTGTATCCAATCCAGGTCTAAACAAATTTTTTTTGAAAATCGACCAATATGTGTTTATAAGAGAACGAAAACACGTAAAAACAATTACCAGAAGAGAGGCGCAAAGCATCCTGAAAGCTTAAAATATTTTAATATGTAGAAAGCACAAAATCTATTGTTAATGCTTCTGCAATCATTAATAATTGTGCTTGTTTCTCATTGATATTTTAATATTACTGGTTCCATGGACAAGCCATGAAAAAATGTTTTTAACCAAAAATTCTTGATTTCTTGATTTCTGCTTATTTTTCTGGACAGTCTGTAGTAGTTGATGGTATTGCCGTAATGTTGAATCTGGTCACATTTATCATATTTATTACACATTATCCAGTAGGGAATATTCACAAGCAGAACCAGTTATACACAATATACAACTATAAATGGAAAGTCTATAAAAGAAAAAAAGAACAATTACAAAATTTTTCGATCACCTTTTTTATTCATTTTCTCTTTTGCGTAAATTTTTTTTACATTACGGAGGCGAAGAGTTTAAAGTTTTACTTAAATAAAGTTTGACATCATTCTTATGTTTCTAAAGTTTCAAACATGATAAACATTGCAATACTTTAATCTATCCATTTTTTATCCCCTAACTTGGCCAGATTTGTTAAAAAAGTTCTATCTTCAAGAATTAGAAACTTTTACACACATAATAATCGAAGGACGAGGATTTCAAGGTGGTTCGGACGAGAAAATGAGAATGTGGCTCGGTCGAGAAGTTGTTGTGGCTGGCCTTCCTCCCCTCAATGTACAAAACTACAAAAAAGACATATTTTTTAAAATAAAACCACATTAACGACAATTATATATATTTCATCTTAATACAATCAATAACTACTTTGTTTCTTTTCCGGCAGGTTTCTGGATTTTTATAAATTTTTTTTCTTTTAGGTTTTTAATTATCTAAAAAAATTGCTCCATATTTCAGATCAAGCTGGGGTATATATGTTGTTCCAAATTATTTTTTTTTCATTGATTAAAATAAATGAAGAAAATCTTGGAAACTTTGTAAAATAATTGGAAAAATTATTTCTCAAAATACATTCCCAAGAGATAGGGAATTTATTTTCTATGATAAAAGACTATTTCAATCAAATTAAAGTTTACGAGGAATATGTTTAGTTTTTAATTTTTTTTTTTGACAATAATTCAGACAAAATTTTTGATTAAAAGATTCCAATATGGAGTTTAATTACAATACATTTGCATTTTTTATTATGGCGTTTTAAAATTTTTGTTTGAACCTTATATTATTTACAATATATAAATATGAATATGGGGTTAAATATTTTCGTTATATATTTGTAAAATCAAACTTATGTTATGGCATACTTTGATTTTACAAGGCTTAAAATAAAAAGCTATTTTCTACTCTACTTGACTTAAGAATAATATCAAGAGCGTAGACATCTGATAAATCGAGTTCGCCAAAAATACACGTCATAACAATTCGATGACCAAGGAGTAAAGCGACATAGGGTCAAAAAGTGGGACAACGGGACAATTTTATTTAAGAGAAATCACAATATTTTACATTTAAGAGGCCGCAGCACTCGGCCCAGAAATTGTCAACCTAACCTAACCTAAAATAATGTGAGAGACATCATATTATTTCACATATAAAAATAAATTTGACCCTCTTTCATGATTTTGACCGTTAGTCGCTTGACCCTATGTCAGTGAACCATCTTAAGCAATCCTTCAATGAAAACGCCATCAAAGATTCTCAACGGAACTTATGGACAGTTTATAATCGTTCAATTTTCTAGTTGTTCCAGAGTTGATTTTTGACAAGTTTGATCTTAATAAATTATGCAAAAGTTTTACTCAGGACAAAGATTATAACCAAAACGATTNTATTAAAATCCCCCATATACGATCAAAAGAGAAAAAACACCAAAAACATTTTACTTGCTTACATGCTTAATATAATATATGTATATGTTTTTTTTTACATAATTTTATAATATTTTACACAAATTGAATATTGAAACCTTAACTTCTAGGGTATAGAATCTAGGAAGCTCTACAATATATATGGCTCATGTCATGGCTCATGTCAAATAAACAGGTATTCAGCGTGAAAATTAATTTCATCGTCAATATTTTTAGAGGAATTTTAGATTGCATGATTTCAGAGTTTTCCTATACGTGGTCAACCATTTTTCTATTGAAAATGAATTGGGAGTACAAAATTTGATAATTTTGGTTGTCTTTAAGAACAAATTGAAGATGAGAAAACTTTTTAAATACATCTCAATTAAATCAAAAGTCGAGACCACATTTTGAAAAACCCAAAATTAGGATAATAATGTTAATTATTTTGAGTATGTAAATAGTGTAGAGTGGATCGAAAAAGATTAAAATTCGACGCTAATTCTTGTGTTTACATAGACACAGGATATATCAAATACCAGGTATTGTGCTGTATTTATGTACAATACTTCTCCAGAACCTCTACTCGTCTTCGTTTCTCGTATCCCAGTCCTTCAGGTTTTCCTTCCCTCCTCTTCATGCCTCCTGCTGACTGTACAGAGCGACCCATCGTTGTACTGTAGTTCTTTCCGGTGTATATTTCTCCATTTCCAACCTTAACAGTACATAATCAGCCGATTTCTACACTACATAATCAGACGATATATGTACAGAAAATATCGACTGTTTTCTACAGTACATAATCAGCTGACATCTACTGTGCATGATCGTCTGATTTGAAATCTACAATAAAGAGTCAGCTGATTTCTACAGTACATGTAATCGGCTAATTTTTACAATAAATTATCAGCTGAAAAGCAATTCATACTCCAAAATCATATTTACTACAGGGACATTGGTTTCAAAACTAACACTTAGTGTTAGAAATGGGCACAAATTTAAAGACTGGGTTTTTGGGATCCCGGCACATCCAGAGTCGATAATAAAAACTATAACCAACATTTTATTAAACATGACGAGGACAGCAATTCCCGATATTAAACTTTTTAAAAAATCTAAATTATAATAGGAGTTCTTTTTATATTAAATCTCTTGAACGTTTTCAAGACAATGTCAGGTTTTCCATTTTCAAACATATCCTGAAATTGAAACATTGTTGCGTTTTCGAGACAAACCCACTTTCCCGTTTTTAATTTTTAAATTATAATAGAACAGTTCGTTTATATTTTCTATTTTGTTTATATTTTACCTTATCAAAAAAAACTTGTTTGTTACGCAAGTGCGTAAATAAACTTATTTAGGAAAAGTTAAATTTTTTTTCTAGATTCATTAAGATATATTTATCATGGCAGTACAGTATATACTAAATATCATTGAAAAAAATATTATTGCTTAAAAATAAAAAAAGGTTTAAAATTGCAAAATTTTCAGAAAAGACTCATTGTTTGTAAATAAATATTATAATTTTACATTTAACAATTATTTTTTTTTGGTATTTTTACCCACCTTCCTCCGAAGGACTGTTGGGACGGGTTGGGTCTGAGCGGAGCTGTGTTCTGCGACGGTACTGGAGAAGCTAGGATGGATGAAACCTGCTCCGGTAGAATGAAATCTACCCCTGGGTTGGTTGGGTCGGAGGGAGGACGGGGAGAAACCTGGTTTCCTTGAAGGAAGCTTAGTGGTTCCAAAAACTCGACGCAGTTTTCCTAAACGAACATTTCTTTAAAATCCTAAAAATATTTATTCTTAACGAATTATAACCGTGAAAGTACATCTCCATTGATAGTGTTAGATTCACTACGGTATCATTAAACGCTTTGTCTGATCAAGTATGAATTGGGATTTTTTATTTTCATATTTTTAACAAATTACAATATTAACTTATAAATCCAGATAGTCATTTAATCCAATATTCTTCTTTCTGGCTACCTCTATTCACTTACACCGTGTTGCATTAGCATGCTGCATTTGTTGCACAAGCTGATATAGGCAGAAATTAGTGTGAAAATCCCTTTGTTCTTCTGATTTTACATGTTTTCGGTGTATATACGGAATTATGATAAATTATCCCATCATTACCATAGAAGGGAGATACAGCTGACGCGGCCCGCCCTACCATCTTTGAAGACGGTACTCCATTTGTATAAGAAATATTTGGCTGATGTACAATTACCGCGTATACAATAACCTATTCTGAATATTTCTTATACAAATGGAGTACCCGTCTGCAAACCATTAATAATCATATGGTAGGGCGGGCCGCGTCAGTTGTATCTCCCTTCAATTTTATTATCCTTGATCATTACCCATAATCTGCACCACATATACAGACTACAGAGTCAGTATGGGAAGTTTCCCTTTATCCAAAGTACGCGGTCAGAGATTTTCCATCAGGACTACAGTTGCTGATTAAATTGAATGCTTCAGGACTCATAACTTGGTTGCCCCCTACCCTCAAACAAACTTAGAACGCTGTTCTTAAATTTAAGAGTCTTCTAAAAATTTTGCCAAAAATTAAGAAAATTTTCCAAAATTAAATTTTTTTGGAGCATATTTTTGAAATCGCTAATTTTTTATTTTTAAGAACACTTGTTTGAAATCCCATAAAAATCGGAAAATTATGAAAAAATTGCTGCTCTTCTTTAAATCCTGTGAAAATCGCAACCGCTCTTACAAGCCCTCTTACTTTGACACCTCAAACATTCTCTTTCATTGGTGTGATTTTCCGAAATTTGAACCATAATGTAACCCGCATCATATTTGAATAGTTACTTTGAAAATTTAACATATACAGAGAATATATAAATTGAATTCTTATTTATCTTCTGAACCTGATATACTAAAATGTAAAAAAGAAACATAGATACAGAAGGAGGTATGAGGATTGAAATCAGAACTTTGAATAAAATGTAAGAGGAACTATCTGTTGAGGTACAAAAACAAGAATTTTTTCTTCCTCATATTTTTCAGGTTTAACAGCATTTTTGATGAAAATAAAGAAAAGAAAATTTTAAGGTGATTTTTTAAAGAACATTTGAAAAATTTAAGAATCCCCCTCCCCCCCGAAAATTAAGAACTTTAAAAACGAATAGCTGGTTTTATGCCAAATTTTAGACATAAGAACATAAGGTTCTTGCTTTTTAATTATTCCTGCCTCTATTTGATTATTCCACTCGTAGTTATTCCTGGTTAGACTAAGAAATAAGGTTATACTAAAAAATAAGGATAAAGCTCTGCTTTCTCAGCGTTTAAGCTTAAATAGCAAGGAAAGCTTGGGAAAGGGGTCTTATTCAGACAAAGGTCTAGGAACAACTGATCAAGTATCAATTAAATAACAATGTTTTTGTTCTTGAACACTGTGTACTTCATTTGTGGTTTCTCTGCAGAAGTGCCAAGCGCATTTCTGGCTTCAAAAACAATATGAAGAAATTATCCGTATTGAATACCTTTCAAGCTAGAATACCGACATTATCTTCTACAATAATTATCAGATTATAAGGTTCAAGGATACTGTTGTCAATCAGACATGAATGAAGAATGAAAAAACCTGACATCATCTTCTACAATAATTATCAGAATATAGGGTTCAAGGATACTGTTGTCAATCAGACATGAATGAAGAATGAAAAAACCTGACATCATCTTCTACAATAATTATCAGAATATAGAGTTCAAGGATACTGTCGTCAATCAGACATGAATGAAGAATGAAGAAAACCGACATT